CACTGGCTAAGGCATAAAAGGAGAAGGAAATCAAGACTGTTTGATGAAAGAAAGCCTAGAGCAGCTAAGAAACAAAAAGTTTGTCAATTTTGAGAAAAAAAGTTAAACAGTGCTGAAAGACATCAGTTGAACTCTTTTTTTTAAAAAAAATAAATATTTTGAATGATCTGGCAGATCATACTGTTTTAGACTGTTTTAACCTTCAAATTATATCAGGCAAGTAATCTTTTTGAGCTCGGAAATCTTCTAGGCCAATATAACATAAAGCACAGTAGTAAGTAGCTTTTTTAATTTTCAGTTTATTAACATACAAAACCTACAACAATCTACAATAAAGTTCAGAAATGCTGGGCAAAATACATGAATTCGTGCTTTATAACCCGAATTGGTTTAGAGAGGGTAGGGTAAAATACAAAAATAACCTTAAGAAAATAGAAAAAAAACAATAGATCACAAAACAAGGGGTAATTACCCAAAATATACAAAATGTTATCTGTAGCCCTGCCGGCTTGTAGCGTTACCTTCTGGACCTCAATAAAAGTCATATTAGTTATGTCCCCTAGTTCAATATTAGAGGGTAGGGAAAATATCTAAATGATGGCCTCGGTCAATTTTTGGAGGTACTGGTAACTTTTGATACTTTCTGTCATTGTACTTCTTCCTTGTTTGTCCAGTAGGAAACGAGCATTTTTTTTTTTTTTGGGGGGGGGGGGTTTACCCAATACTAAGCATTTTGGTAGTTTTGTATATATTTTGACTCTCGAATTGCAGATGAAAAATTTAAAAATCAAGCTTTTACGGTTGGCGTCGAACAAGTAAGAAACTTTGGATACATTTTGTGAAAATTCTAAACGTATGACCGACAGTTGGATATTTTTGAAAATACCGTTAATTGCATTGTGTGTATCCACATACTTGCAATCACAACCACTTTTCAATCACCCCTTGAAATTATTTACGTTTGATCTATTTGTGACGTAACCAAACTGTAAGCACGTTCACTGTTTACCTTGACTTCATTTATTAGCAACACTGTCAATTTTGGCGAAAAAGAACAACTTCCAAAAGACTTAAAATACTCTTAAAATACTTTATGGTATTTAAATGAAGATTGAAAACAGAAAAATGACCATCGTACAGGTTTCTGGCAATTGATATTAAGTGAATCATATAACAGAAATGGTCATTTTACTATGATGTCAACCAATTTTCACTTAATAAAGTGCAATCCACGCAGAAATGATTTCTCTTTCGAAAAATGTACAGTATTAGACCTGTTGGTACGACATAAGATGGAATTTTATAGCAAAAATGCACTTTTGTATAGGTCGGACATCGCTTGACCGAGCCGTAAGGAAACGATTTTGAACATACATAGATCTTTTTTTAATAATAAACACATGATGATAGTGCATGCAAACAGTTTAAACAGAAAAGACAGCTATAATACTATCGCTGACCGGTCCAAATTAAATCCAAAAGGTCTGTAGATGCACAACTACACATGCTGATAAACATTCCTGTAAAGTTTCATGGCCCTAGGCCAAATACTGTTTGAGTTACGTGCAACACAAGTTGAAAAATGCAAATTTTTACTAAGTCAAGGGCAATAACTTTAACAAAACAGAATAAATCCACAATGAATTCCTAGGTGCACAATATTAAATGCTGAGCAATATTCCTGTAGAGTTTAATGACTCTAGGTCAAATACTTTTTGACTTAAGTGGGACACAAGTTGAAAATTGCAAATTTTTACATGACTCTATAAATACTAAATAAATCCACATGTAAATACCCGGGTGCACAACTACACATGCTAATCCACATTCCTGTAAAATTGCATGGCTCTAGGTCACATATTTTTTTGAGTTACATGCGACACAAGTTGAAAATTGCACATTTTTACTAAGTCAAGGGCAAAAACTCGAAAAATACTACATAAATCCACATGAAGATATAAAGGTGCACAACTACACATGCTGATCAACATTCTTGTAAAATTTCATAACTCGAAATCAAATACTTTATGAGTTGCATGCGACACAAATTGAAAATTGCAATTTTTACTAAGTCAAGGGCAATAACTCTAAAAATACTTCATGAATCCACACAAAAATGCCCAGGTGCACAACTTCACATAGACCCTTCTCAAATTATATGCATAACTGGAATTCCAGAACCAGAAGGAGGCTTTAATGGCATGAATGTAAACACACTGACCACTCTTATCTCGCTATATAGACACAATGTCGGGTGTTATTAAAAAAAGCTCTAATTATCATATTTGTGTGCCTATGTGCAATTATGATGGCAAGTATGATTTACCATATTCCAAAGGATAAAGATTAGAAACCAACAACAACAATGGATAACTAACTTTCTAAGATAAGGAGGGATAAAGGGTCATTGTTTAAGGTAAGCATCTAAAGATAATATTTGTAAACTGACCAATATATGAACAGAATAATATTTTTGTTAAAATACAGATTTTGTAATTTGAGAATAAAATATTGGGAGAACTGCTTGATTTTAATCTAACAGTTATAGCAATTGAAACTTTACTGTAACTTTTTATCAGTTCAAATGAATTTTACACATAGAGGATTAAAGCTGAATAATAGTTACACTATCATTCCTAATTATAAATGTATGTTGTATATTTTAGGGTACTGCATCTACTGTGGTGTGTTCCAAACATTTTAAAACAGAGGAATGCAACTGGACTCCACTTAGAAAGAGACTGTAAAATGCTTCTATTCCATTCTATTCTACTCCATGAACACACAACTCCAAGAAGGTCACTTATGAGAACAACTCTTTCACCAAAGAAAATGCTCAATGATAGGTAATTCACGGATTTAACTCATTGATTTAACTCCTATATTCATCATTTCATTTAAATACATAAAATATAATGCTTAATAATATTTATGTTTAATAAATGTACTTGCAAAATCTTTTAAATTCTCACTGATATTGAATGAATAATATGTTTTGGTATGATATATATATTTCAGCATTGTCTATAATGAAGATGAAGAAGATAGTGCAACAAGTACTAATTGCCAACCATCTATATCTTATGGGTCTACAGAAACACAGGGAGAAAAATATATTTAAAGGCTATTGTGTGAATTGGACAAGACTAAAAAAATGTAAAGACCCTGCAACTCAGCTGAGTTTTTATTGAAATTACAAAGGAACATGCCCACGTTTGCTTAGTATAGCACCCCATGATATTATCACATTTGTGTCACCGTTATATACTGGATGCCTGTCAGATGTTGTGTTCTCTTTGAACTTATTGAAAATGGTGATGACATGATGGCTGATTTACATTATGTAAGATACTTTCAGAAAGGGAAGTGCCATTGAATATTCCAGCATCTGTAAAAAAAGCAAATTTACACTAGGAGCAGTGGCGAGAGGATGAGTTAGTAGCCAAACGAAAAGAATTAACCCAAGAATTAAAGAGTATCATCTGTTTGACACCTTTTTTATTATCTCTTGTTGGTTCTGTCATTCAGTTATGGACAGTAGCATGTATACTTGCTAATTTTAATGGATCCATTGTACAATCATGGACAAAATGTAATAGTCTGTCTTATGTATTATATTTTTCTTATTATGTATATATATTGGTATTGTATCTTAATAAATAAAAGGATAACAAAAACAATATTATAAAGAAGTATTAAAGTTTAGTCTTTATTAAATTTTGAAATAAATACGAAAATTCATTCTTTCTCTGTTATCTATGACATTTTCCATATATTGCGCAACTATTATGTGCTGGTAGTACTGGAAGTACAAATTAAAATTCATAAAGTACATGTATACGCAGAGTTTGGCTAGGCATAAGCTTATCTCAAATACGAGGGTTGTCCAAAAAATTCGTGCACTGCAGGTATTGTCGTGAGAGTTATTAATAAAAACAAATGAATTATATATCACTTGAAGGAGAAATCTGTCAATACACATCTGATAAAGATTTTCCACAGGTCATCAGGGGCTTAAGATTAAATTTGCAATTTCCTTTATGTTAGCATCAATAATCCGAAAAATAGAAAAAATAAGATTATATAAAACAAGACACCGCAGTTTTATATACATAAATCTTATATTATGTTAGGAAATATGTTTATGAAAGCAAAATTGAAACCGAAAGTAAAAAAATATCTCTTCTCTAAATCATAAATGGATAGTTGAATTCTTTCTAGAGGGATTTCTGTCCCGATGAACCTTTGTTTTGTAATATTTATCTCTACAAATGAGAAATTAATGTCAGGAACCAAAGATAAGTCAATGTCACTGTATGCACTCATGTTGCTAACAGCTTAACAGCCTATACTGGCTTATCAGCTTGCCAGTTAAGCCTCGTTCTGGTTCATTTTCTAAAGAGCTGTAGAATATTAAGAATGGTGTATGCTGATTAACATTCCTGAAAAGTTTTATGACTCTCGGTCAAATACTTTTTGAGCTACGTGCGACACAAAAGAGAACGGACGGACGGATGGACAAGGATAAATCTACCCCCACCCCCCACGAATGTATAAAATAACTTAAATTTGAATGACCGCACTGGTGAAATTGAAGCTTCGTTATGACCAAGCTGGTGTGTTTTGACAGCGTCGGTAATCTGTGGGGCCCATAAAGTAGAATATGAGTCATATTAATAGGCACACAGGGTAACATGCTACAATTATATGAGCTTGTAGAGTGCTACTCGAGTATTTTTTCACGAAGACCGAAAGCTTTCTGCCTTATTGTTAAATAACATGGATATTCCACGACGTAGGCAAGTGAGGCTGCATGGATGCGGTATATATTTCAAAAAACTAGTAGTCAGCACTTTATTAAATTGGTTTGTTCATTTGAAAAAAAAAAACAAAAAACAATGTCTTAGCAAAATTGTTATCGAAATTTCCGACAGGAACGAAACACTTGCGTGATAACGTTCTTTAACACATTAATTGGTGTATGTTTTCTCCAATTGCAGGTTAAGAAGTAATGTCGCACAAGGATGAATTTGAGTCTGGACCAAAAGAGTCTGTCGGACCCTGTCCAAGTGAGGAAAACCAGAATCAAAGTTCTGAATCGCTTTTGAAGTTTTTTGGTGAAGAGATGCTAAAACGGTTACAAGATGGGAATTTCTCAAATATGTTTCAACCTCCTACTAAAACAGAGTCAGTAACAGTTTTATAAATGTATTTTATATGTTTATTACGCCAACTTTACATATTTAAAAGAATGGCTTTTCGAGGGTCAAGTTATCAATTAGGAAACTTATATAACATACCCACACACGCACGCACGCAATAATTTATCATTTAACTACTTAATTAATATCCTACGAAGATAAAGGATAAATAAGACAAATTATGCTACAGGTTCACTTTAATTTATTATTACATAAATATACATTCATACACATCGACGACACTCGGAAAATCACTTTAAACTAGTAAGAAGTGTCTCTGCGCTTAACAATAATATCAGCACATGATCATATAAAAAGTCCCATGTCGTCGATCCGAACATTCCAAAAATTGTGGTTCTGTGCCATTTCAAGGCACTGTATGAAATAATGTCTTCACACAAATATATGTATAACCTCAAAGTCAGAACCCCAAAACTCACACAAACTTAGTATCCATCCTTGCAAGAGTTATCAAAAGACAATAAAAAGTTGTCTACTCTAAAAAAATAGATATATAGGTGGTACAAGCCAGTCTTTGCAGTCTGACCAAGACTGTGTAAAGGTGTTGATGCCTCGGAATTATATTCATAAATTAAAGAGTTAAGCCGAGTTAGTTTGCGATAATTGAAGCAGGCAGACAAACCTATCTACCTCATGAGGACCCAACAATTGATAAATAAATTGAACAATTCGGTAGAAACCTCCCATTCATCTGAAATATAAATTTACAAATGTCGTCTGCAATCTGATAATGCTCACGTGGAACCCACTGAATGCTTGAATCTATGTCCCATTTTAAACATAATTTTAAGGTATTAAGCGACTCAAGTTGCAAATCTAACTTTGTGTTACCCGACCAAGCAATTTGTACAAATGACTGCGCATCAGAAATCCACTTTACTTTAAATATTACTAGCAAACTTCCATAAACTCGTAAAGCAAGATAATGTGTTCTCCATTGTTCCAAACCCTATGGAACACACAGTTTCTGCAGTCGATTATACAAGAGGCACATGACAGATGACTTGCAAAATTTGTTCCAAAATATACCAATCCTCTTTTATTCTTTAACTGGGAATCATATTGATTTTTCTTCATTAATTAAAAAACCTGCCATCTCAATACTGTTCTTAGCAAGGTAAGAATCAGCTTTAGTCTGTTAAAATGCTTTGTTGCTTCCCCAGCCATCATCTTAAATCATCCCAATTTTTATTCCCTTCAATCTCCAGTATTTAACCATTTCCCTCAATACTTTTGCAAACATTAAGGAGCGCTACTGATGCAAAAGGATAAAACAGTAAAACAGTAGTTTTTCAACTTTACTGAAAAACCTAAATACGTTTGATGGACTGGAAAAAATGTCTAAATAATGGTAGCCCTTAGGTAACATATACGCATCATGTGTAAAATACTAAAGTCCAAATTTCCATTCCTAAAGCGTAGCAGACGTCATTTGTTGTTGCCTGCCTTTGACAAAAAAAAACAACTGATTAACGTTACTAACGTTGGAACGTAGTGGTTACCAATATTTTGGATCATCTGCCCTTTGTGTGGCTGATTTGTACCCAATGAAAGAGAGAGAATCACACTCTTATAAGGATGAAAACGAGCCTGTTTTGAAGTAGTAATAGTGCACTCTTTAATATCTTTAGATTTGGTCTGTCTGAGTTTCGGCTCATCATCGCTATCGCTAGCGGGCGCGAAGGCTTCTCATATTCTCGGACTATCTGCTATTTGTATCAGTTTATTCTTGCTTATCAATCCTTTAACACCATCCTTCAAATTTGATTTAGACAACTTCATCAAAATTAACTCCAATCCTTCCAGAGCGCCAAGGTTAAATAAGTACTAAATTTTATGCGATTCGTTATTCAAAGTCTTTAGACTTCGTAATATCGTTCTTCAAGTCAGACAAACGTGAATCAAAATAACCTCTAATAAATCAAAAGCTTGTTTCCTGTCAAGAGTTAAACTTTCTCTACTTCTGAGTACAACGTGCTTACTGCCACGGTACTCAGTTTCTATTATCTTCCGTTATAACCGTATCAGTCCGTCGGTGTATAGTGAACCTATAGTACCTTGAATGGTGAAACACCCGTGTACATACACCTTATAATGGTAAAACACCCGTGTACATACACCTTATATATATTGACCAGTCTAACGCATCGGTACACTTAGTTAACAGCTGAAATACAGCTGCGCTGTCCACAGTGACTGAAAAATCGTAATAGTAATGACCAATGTTAAATAAATATATACGAGTACTCTCAGATTGATATATATATTGTACGATTGGATTGAATCAGGTTGTTTCAACCGCAATAAAAGTAAGATAAACAATATTTTGTAATTGTCAGGCCTTCTACTGATAGGGAGCTGCAAGTATGGAAGAAGGAAGATGACACGAGTGTCGGTAAGTACATTAAAAATGTGAAGATACAAATACACTTGAAATCGACTAACACTGAATATGCGATAAAAAAAGCACATGGAATATTTTCATGAATCTAAGAAAAGAGATAGGCGGCAAAATGTAACTTGTGTATATTATTTTCTTTTTTCTTTTGAAAATACATTTAAAAAGGTGATTGCTTTTACGAGACTCAAAATATTGCAGAGGCCAGAGATATATAGTTGCATGTTTTGAGATTCAGAAAAAAGATCACATAACATGTGATATTCATATTTATATATTTGAAACCTATTGCTCTACTGGCGTTTAAAAGTATAAAATTTAAAAATGTAACATGGATCAACTTTATGTACTTACAACATAAAATTATGAAAAACGACGATAAAGATACACTCAGAATAAAATTCAATATTTAGTGCTATTCCTGGCTTGAAAGAACTTGAGTATTTTTTACATAAGCACTGTGCGAAAGTTTATTTTTCCCATTTTCATATACATGTATACAGTCAGTATACACCTATTTATTGAGCGTTAAACTATTTTGTTAAATGTTGCTTTTATTTAAGAAATTTGAAAGGCTACCTGTGTATGTAGGACTCGTGTTTCAGCTCTTGAATATCGGAAATTTAACAAAGGTCAACTGAGAGCCATATTGCGTATCGCATTGTATCATATGTTGGTTGCAGCAACGTTAACAGCTAATTATCGTTTCTTAAAGTATTATAATCAGAAAAAGACAATATGTATGTATTAACGAAATTATATTAGATTTTGTATATTCGTTGTATTATTAATGTTTTGCGTGTGACATATTAGAGTTGTCTGGGATTTTAATCACGTTTCTTTTCAGAAAAACAGACAGAACTCCGTTCTATTGATGGCATGCACACAGTCTTTTGCATCGATACTTCTTGTAGTATGAAATTAAATAATGCTTTGATCGATGCAAGGACGTTTGTCTACGATTACATATCAGGTAAGACTTTATTTTGCAAGGAGACTATATATATATGAGCATGCAGAACAAAATCTCAGAGAGTTTTCAATAATAATCTTATTAACACTTTCACTTATTTCTACCACATCACTTGTTATGAGTTATCCTAAAATGCAGTATTTATTATTTATCAGTATGTTTGTCGCGATTGTAAATTCAAAACCATGATGGTTAACAAAGAGTTAAATGCCAAGTGACACAAACCGTTTTGATACTTAAAACCCTTATAATTACATAACAATGTTCGTTCAAACACACCTTAGGTGACCCAACATCAGTGACCATTGTTTCAAAGTGTTTATAACGTTTGGAAATGTTTACATAGCCATATTATCTTAATGGTCTGAAAAACAATGTACTTAAAAGTGCAAAAGAAAACTAAGCAAAGCTTTTTGAACTCAAAGAACCGTTTTTATGATTTCCTTTAGTTTTTTCAGCACTTACATAGCTTGAGCTAGGTTTTTAACAAAGAAGAAATTTAAAACCATTATTTGCATTTTTATGGTGTACCAGTATTGAGACAAATGAACTGATCAATAAGAGCCTAGTAGCAATATGTGATATTGTAAAACATACATCGATTTGATTTATCTTTTTAGTCAGAAATTAAGCAATCTTAGATGTTAAGAGTATATGATTGATAACAAAACTGCAATAATATGAGATTAAATGTTCACGGAATACAAATTAAAGCAAAAACAGGAACAAAATCAAAGATCTAATAATCAAATAATTTAAAATAAATAAAGATAAGAAATGATAATGATATTAATAATAATGATAAAATACATTTTTTTTCAAAAAGTCACATTTAATTACATTTTTTGTACAGTTTTCTACTTCAATCATTGATATTCGTTCAATTTCATATAGCAATTGTGTGTCCATTTTAATGAACATGTTTAATATCTTGTCTTTGATAAGTCTAATATTTTCATAATGATGTCTTCTTTTGGGAATGCCTGGTTTGTGTTTACGACGCAGGACAGATTTGTAGGAGCAAAATTGTCTCGGAGCACATTTGTTTCAAGAGGTACGACCAATGTGCTCGTAAACAATTAATTTTGCGATAAATTGGCAATGAGACAGATGTGTTCGACACACAAAAGAAAGGACACTCAAAGCAGATTTGTCTCATATTCTCTAAAACAATTCCAAAAAGGTAATAATTATACCCGTCCGTATACTGGCTACTACCCATTGCTCTGGTTTTCTGTATTTGTAAACACCGTTTTTGAGGTATCCAGCACCCAAACACATATGCAGCGAGTCCATTTTTATCGTTATTAATTGTCGAGGCTTCAAAAAAATTTTTAAGCAACAACAAGGTAGTATATACGTTTGCATAAAGGGGACATAGAATATTTTTATTTAATAGGTGTGCACACGATTCTTTTACGTGCGCACGCGATACTATTATGTGCGCACGCGAAAGCTATTGTTCATTGCGTGCGCATGCTATAACTATTACGAGCGCACGCGGATAGTTAATCCGCATCTTGACTCTGTACGATCTTTCTCGCATGAATAGTTCGTCTCCCCGAGTGAGTGTCGAACCTACAGCGGTTAGATGCAAGAGGTCTTTTTGAAATGACCCGGCCACAGAGACAGCTAAATGATCATCAGAAATATATATAAAAATATCGCCATTTTCCGATTATTGTTGCATTTCAGATCCGCCATTGAAAAAGCACTTACAACGTGCATGAGTCCCAAAAAGAATCCGTGTAATGCCATAATTATAGAATGCAGGGTATCGCAGAATCGGACGAGACGCGACATTCCGATGAGTCACTTAGCGAGGCACGATATTGTAACATGAGATCTTGCAATGATATCTTACATCGCTTTATGTTGTGCCGGGATATCGCTTTGCGTGTCTATCGACAAATTATCGCGGATCGTTTCATGTCTGTGGTTCTCAAAGGCCTTACTATGGTAAAGGAACCAGCTCGGTAGCCATCTGGCCTTGTCGCGTAATGGCGGACTGGTAATTGGACACTATTTTTTGTCACACTGCATGGCCATAGATGTCTTAATTTAAGCTGTTTTCTGTTTAAATTTCATCATAGATATAGTTTGACATTGTGGTAGGACAAAGTGCGAGCAAAGGTTGTATTTGATAAAGTGAATTTTAATTTTAGTTTTGATGGTTCTTCCACGTCACAGCAGTGTGATTTTTAATTGATTTTACAGTAAGAAATGTGACGCTAGAATTTTTTTTTGAAGATACATGACCTTTACTTTTCATTTTATATCGGTATTGTCATAACTCAAAAGGCATTTTAAATGAGACTCTAAAATTGGTCTAGCTATGTTTTGTAGCTCTTTGAAGAATGTCAGTTTTATATAGAATATAAAGGAAATATCATTAAGCGGTATATGGCCTCAAAGGATTTTCCTATCTCAAGTCGACATACTAGATGCGAAGTGAGACACTAGATTCCGGCGAAATGGTAAACAAGTAATCGTACTATGGTGGTTTCGCGTTCGTACCACCGTATTTCACCATCGTACCATCATCGTATCATTGTGACACCGCACTTTCACCATTGTACGATCGTGAACATGATTCCGTATGTTTCATTGTACGCCTTTAGGTTCAGCCAATCCAACTTCTTGATTTTCAGATATCAGAATAAATCGTTCCATTGTAGGTTTTAGGTTTAAAATTGCATAAAAACACACACAAACCTATTAATGATCACATTTGACATGAGATTAAACGGCTAACCTCAATTTCTTAAAAAAAAACTCCCGTGGGGCAATATGTGACACATAATCAATAAAACAATGAAATGAGACAAATGTGTTTTCTTGTCCCTTAAAAAACTTAATCGGAGCACATTTGCCACACAAATGAGTTATTTATGGGGGTATACATTTTGAGATCCCATCTGTCTCATGTAAGACAAATGTGCTCCGAGACAAATATGCTCCTACACAACTTTGTCGGTCATTGGCTAGCTCGTGCAAATATTTTATTGTTTTTTTTTGGATTCTAATTGGCGTAAGAAATTGAAATATATAATATTATCATATATAATTTATATATGTCTACAAATAGTGAAAACAATGAGTTTATTGTATTACGAGCCAGGCGTAACGAGAAAGAAAAGCCAGCAACAAACTTGTTACAATAACAAATTTATTACAGAAAAAATATTAAAGAATTTATTTTTACAAATACCTGAAGTCCAAATAAAAATATAAATTTCAAATGTCTTATCTGATCCTGGAATGATCCCCTTTTGAATAGCACAGTTAAATCCAAGTTAAATTCAAGAACACTTTAGAATAAATCCCCACAATAAAATCCACAAGAATAATTTAAACTATTTTAAAAATAATCCAAGCTCCAATAAATCACTTAATATCCAAGTTGAATAATACTACAAATGTATTGATGACTTAAAAAGTAACTGATGACTTAAAAGATAAAGGTAATGAAAAATATCCCATATATATATATATATAAAAACTAAGAACATTCCAGAATAGTCTATTATGTTCTAGAGTAATCATAATCTAGCACTTTCAACAACAAAGAATAATCTGGAAATTTCTATCTAAATATAATGCACGAATCATAATCTAGAATTTTCTACAACAGTTAAGCAAGTTCTAGTACATACATGTAGTTTATGTTCTAAAAATAGAACAGTGATAATACTATATACATATAATATGTTGCATACATAACAATTGATTAAAGATTAAAATTAGTATTCATTCGTTTTCTATTTATTGATAATTACTACCCTATGACATTTGCACACTATAAGCTGTGCCCATTATTGGCTAATGTCTGAATTACAGGTTGGGTAGAGGTCAATGAAATAGTGCAATAAGAAGAAGTGGTTTAGACTATTCATGACAATACTTAGTTTGCTACTTTTTGTAATGTTTTGATAAAAACAACACTATGTTTAAGCAACATTGTAGGGTCTAAAATAAAGTATCATTCGGCATTTTAATTCATTGGGGTCGAACTATTCTTATACACACCGAAATTGGTACTTAAATGAAAAATTTGTTGCGCGGATTGTAAATATACCTAACATATCCTTTTATAATTTGACAGTGTATAAAATGTATGAAAACAAAATTGATCCTCCCTAATATCACATAACTCATTTCAAGCTTTAATGGACGATTTTGAAAGAAAAAGCAGGTGCTACTTTACATCATTAGTAACATTTGGGGAAGAAACGAAATTGCTTCAGCAATGGACCAAAGATGTTAATACACTTTTGGAATCGATTGGTAAGAAATAAATTTTATATCAAAACCTATTTTCTTCTAGCATTATATTGCAAGTGGCGTTTAACAAAATTAATCAACGGCCCATTTGCAATCTTTTCTATTTCTCAAAACATTTTTTTAATCTTGGTATCTAGTCACAGTTTTCCTAAACAATATGTTTTTGCTATGAATATGAACTATCGTTTACTTCTGTTACTATGTTAACTTAGCAATTGGTATAATAATAGTGAATTTGTATCTTGTATGGAAGTTAAACTACTACTTTGCTTACACCTTGCTACCTTTAGGACATATAAGTCACTTTCAGCGCTACTTTCTAAATTGTTAAACATCTTACATGTTCTTCATAAATTATCAATACATTATTATGCACATGTTTGAAATTCCTACTGAATTTTTTAAAAAAAGTGGTTTCTGAGGCATAGTGTGACATAAGTTAATGTGGAACTGGCTTATATTACCTGATTGAACAATTATCTTTCTAAAATGATGGAACGATAGCTCTTTCTTTTACTATCATTTAATATGTATTCCTATATTGAAATGATAATTAAATGTTGGACAGATCTATATCGAATCAAATTATGAAACGTTATCCTTGCAGAAAACTTACCACTTTCTGGTCATGGTGATTTGGCAACTGGACTTGAATATTCAAAGAATGCCGCATTAAGCCCATGCAGTAAGTAATTTTATTCACGAATAACAAGGTTTCAATATTTTCTCCAAAAAAGTTTTCTCGCACGTATCTCGAGAGCATGCGAAAGAGTTAACGACTTGATATTTCGGCTGTAGATAAAAATATGTGATTTAAAATAAAGGATTTAATCTTGATCGTGTCTTTAATACAATAACATCAGATTAAAATCTAAATTTAATATTAATACTACCTTTTATATGTAGAAACGCGAAGCTCTAAACTTATGTAAAAACTCGAAGATCTAAACTTTAATAAGATGGTTTTCAATTAGATAATTCATGAACTTTTGACCTTTGTCAGAATTTAGGTGGTTCATGATGATGCCTTTTCAATATGCAACTTTTTTAAATGTTCATGAAATAAGAATACGCCAGTATTCAACAACAGGTTTACAGTTAAAAATAGTTTGTTCATTATATTTTAATAATGTCGGAACTGGTTTGGAAGAAAGTAGAATCAGAATTCACAAATAATGTACTAAGTATCAGTTTCCTAATTAAATATTTCTATCTTTCTTCTAAACCAATTTAAGTAGTTCTGTTATCACAATTATGTTATTTTGTCTTATGGTTAAAAAACAGTGATTGGGATATCAGGAATGACCAATATTAAAGCACTTGATAAAGTGAGGTGTAAAAATAAGATATAGATGATGCAGTCAGGATTTGCAAGAGTTATAATGATTTTTTTTCCTATCAGCAGCTCTCTTGTTATTGTAAGTCCTCTCAGCTTTTCTTACCACTTTGAATTTTTATATTAACATACTCTGATATATTATTAAGTGAGGGGTAAAAATAAGATATAGATGATGCAGTCAGGTTTTGCAAGAGTTAAAATGATTTTTATTTCTATCAGCAGCTCTCTTGTTATTGTAAGTCCTCTCAGCTTTTCTTACCACTTTGAATTTTTATATCAACATACTCTGAAATATTAAGGCATTTAGGTTAACATATTACAAATTTAATTCATACTTCTAAATAGACCCTCAAAGAGGGCATGTCAATGACGAAGTGTGATTTGAAACTTGATGAGGACTACCAAACATTTGTTGATTTTTGTACAAACTGTTTTCTTTTGAAATGAGTTACACATGACAATATATATACAAACATTAGTTGATGGTAATTAAACCATCATTGATAGTATACAGTTATTTCATTGGTATTTGTAACAGTCAAAACTGTTGTCATAAGGTATCAGGGATGACATTTGGAAATGTTTTCATATAGATACAACTATTTTAGATCATTTAATAATGCCCTTGATGAATAGGTTTAAAAATGTAATAACTCTACTTGTTTTACAAACATGATCACGCTATGGACAAAACCAGTCTTCTAATGGAACAAGATTTATTTTGAAATTGAATCTCCCAATTATTTCCTTTAATTTGTAGATTATGTTACAACTACGAACAACACATTATTACGTGAGATTATTGTTATAACTGATGGCAGAGCAACTGATTTCGATGCTAAACGTAAACATAATGGAAACAAAAGAGAAGTAAAACAACTTTGCTAATACCCATTTGTTGCAAGACTTGCTGTAAAGTTTTCGATAAAAAAGTGTAAGAAAAACACCGGAAACAGTATCATAACATACTTCAAATTCAATAATTACACAAATGCAAATATAAAACACATTTACCTCATACATATGTAAACCTTCTTATATTCTCGTAATACAATCCGTACGTCTGTTACCAATTTCGTGTCCGGTTTGCATCTTTTGAACCGATTGAAGGGAATACAATTTACTTCGCAGAAATGTGAACATGTGATCATAATAAAACGATATGCACAGTGCAGGTTTGACTTACATAAGAAGCTTTTATTTGTCGAATATAATGTTGCCTGCCTCTATGAAAGTTTTATGAATCATGTACCTTAATTATTTTGTATCATTAGAATATTGAAGATAAAACTTTTTGATTGGGTCTATTCCGAAATTGAAATATTTACTTTTTATACTCAAACAAATCTACATTTGGGCGTTTATTGTCCCGCATTTGCAACCCTCTTGTCCAGTATTTCAGTCGTGAAAAAGAAGAAGTGGCTGATATTCGAGAGAAAGGTGTCGAAATACAATTTGTTTATGTTGGAGATCCGGATAAAGTTAGTACATTTTAAGTTTCTAATAATTTTCAAAAACGAATAAACGTTGCGTGCACGAATACATACACGGGTGTCCGTGACCGAATGGTTAAGATCGTTGACTCGAACCACTTGCCCATTACCGCTGTAGGTTCGTCCCGACAGGGACTTTGGATTCTTTCATGTAATGAAGCTATCAAGCTAGCTTACTGAACGTCGGTGGTTCTACTTATTACTTAGGTACCCGTTTTGAGTCGGATATAATGCACGGTAGGGCATCTAAGGTCTTCCTCCACCAGTAAAGCTTGAACGTCGCCATGACCTATACATTGTCGATGTGACCTGAAACCCAATCAACCAAACAAACAAACATACATAGTTGGGGAAGTTTTTGTTTGTTTCTTGAATATTTTTAAAATGATCCTTCTGCAAATTGAATGTTTATTCTCTTTTTCATTTGATAGAAATTGTTAGAGCAACTCCGCGACATCAATGGCAGAGAGCTGGACAAGCATACTTCAGGTCGCACAATGGCAAAAGACATAACAGTTAAGGTATTTGTTGCTTTCAATATTCTCTTGATTCACTATCCCTATTATAATCAATTAGAATCGTGTATCAATACAATTGTACTACATATGCATCAATCGAACACACATTAATCCTCTAACTTCATGAACATCCGTGAATATATTGCATGTACGAGTATTTGTGGTCAAATGATAATATTCGTGTTAACATAATAACATCCCTTTTATGGGTATCGTTTTATCACTTGCAGAATTTAAAATAATGCAATAATGCTAAATGTCCGTGATATTATATTACGGTTTAAACAATCAAAATAACTTTTGTGTTTTGCCACGAAAAAGTTGTCATTTAACGTTCATTATACATGACGACACGTCATTTGATATGTTTGCTTGATGATTAAAACATTCTGCTCGTGACAAGCACAACAAGCATTGAAAGCGCTATTGAAATAATTTTGAAATGTTTTTTTGAGGCCCTTAAAGGGTAACCCCGTTTATTTTGAACATAGATAAATACATATATACAAACATACATACATACAAAGACACACACACACACATATACATATAAACAAACAAACAAACACACACAAGGTACATTTTAAAAAAAATAGAAGCCTGTGATTAATGTAAAATCTCACTTAACTTTTCAATATATAGTTTTGTAACCTGTAGTCTAATGAATGAAAACTGTTTCTAGTCATATTGTATTTAAAATTAATAATCATCATAATCAATAATACAATGTCCCTATCACATACTAATCTTGATATGAAGAAATGAAAATATATTTCAAACTGTCCCACTGTTTGTCAAAAATATCTACCTTGTTACTAATTTTTTGTGTTTCTCTCTCGATTTGGTATTGGTACTTAATATAATGCTTAGCAGCCTCTATAGATGGCCTTTTAAAATTCATTTTACAAAAATATATATACTTCTTTCAAACAAAAGCAAAAGATTGGTTTCATAATCAACATTTGTATGCCTAAAAAAATTATATTCTTATCAAATGCAAATGAGTATTTTCAAAAAGACCACGAAACATATTGAAAACAACTGCACAGTCCCAAAAAAGTTGTTCCAAGCTTTCAGAAAATTTGTTGCAAAAACTGCAGTTTGGATTATCTTTGTATTGTATCTTATACAAAAGTTAGTTTGTGCCAAGTATTTTGTGTACATTTCTGTATTGAAACCATTGTAAATTCGTGTTTTTAGTGGTGTCAAAAATAAGTGAAAAAAATTTATTCCATTCTTTATCTTCAAATTTAGTATTAAGTTTTTGTTCCCATTTAAGTTTACAAACAGCTGTACGGTTATTTAATTTTAATATATTATGCATAGGTTGTGCACCCTTTTCATTTTTTAAAATCTGAGAGAGTATTGGTGGAATATAAGGTCTTGAAACATATTTTAAACTACTAATAGAATAACCAACACTTTTAAGATATATAACTACTGCGTTACATATGCCTTGAAAATGCAAAAAAATTAGCACTCAAAATTATAAATTTTATTGAATTCATGGATCTCATATAAATCCCCATTCATGTTAAACAAGTCACTTATACACTGGACACCAGCATTAAACCCTGACTTTAAAAATATACTTTTTTTACCAATCAATATATTTGGGTTATAAAATAATGGATATTCCAACACTTTATTGGAACATGGGATATTTTTTTCACATAATTGAACAAAAGCATTTAAAGTATCTTTCCAAAATAAATTTTTACATGATTTCGCTATGGTTTCTGGGTAATGAGAGCCACAATTTAATAATTTATTTATATCTATTAGTTTAGAAACAATATCTAACCATTTTCCGTAGCTCGTAATGATTCGTCTAATCCAAGTAGTTTTTAAGGCAGATATAAACGCATTTTAATCTATCATGTCAAGACCTCCATCTTTTTTATTTTTTATCAAAACGTCTTTTTTTTATATTTGCATGGGCCTTGCCATATAAAATCAAAGAATAAAGTTTCTATTTGTTGAGTATAAGATTTTAGAGGATTACGCAAAGAAACAAACAAGTGATTTAAGAGTGACAGTACAAGAGTTTAAATGACAACTATTTTTCCAATTGGTGTAATTATTCTTCTCTTTCACAGTTTTAAAATATTTTCTGCTTTGCAATTTTAGATTTGTAGTTTAACTCTAGCATTTTTGACAAATCTACATGAAACTTGAAGCCAAGCATGTCAAAAGTTTGCTGACTCCAAGATAATTTCCATTTTGTTTTTATACTATTTGTACTAGATTTTTCTTTTTCAATCCAGACGACTTTTGTTTTGTCAAAATTAACTTTCAAACCAGAAATAAAAGTAAAAGTGGACAATGTGTCTAAGGTTTCATTTAAAGAAGAGGCCGATCCACCTAGAATAATTGTTTATGTTCTACCATATTCATTTTAATTCCTTTAATATTGTTATTTGACCTAATTTTCTGCGAACGTATTTCAGCACATAAAATAAAAATATAACAACTTAACGAATCACCTTGCCGGCACCAACGCTGGAATGCTAAAGAACTTTGATAAAAATCCATTTTGACATATTGCTGAAATCCCATCTTTATAGAAAATGCTAAACCATCTTTTGATGTCTTCTCCAAAATTAAAAAGTGACAACGTTTTATCTACAAAAAACACAAGACAAAGAATCAAAAGCCTTTTCGAAATTAATAAGGAGTAAAAGCCCAGAAATGTTATTCTCCTCTGTATCTTGCATTATATCATAAATTAGTCTTACATTTTTTCCTTTAAATCTGCCCTTTATAAATCCTGTTTGGTCATTGTTAATAAGTTTGTCTAAGTATATTTTTATTCTATTCGCCATGCATCCAGGACCAATTTTATAAATTGTATTAAGCAGTGTTATCGGTCGCAAAGTTTTTAAAAATTGTTTTGGCTTATCACCTTTAGGGATACATGTTATTATACCCTGTGTTTGTGTTACAGATAAGTTTCCGGATATAAAAGCATGGTTTAGAGCCCTACAAACAAATACGCCAATTCTGTTCCAAAAACATTTATAACATTCTGCTGAAAATCCAGATGAGTCTGGACTTTTATTATTTTTCATATTCTTTAAAACGGTAGATGCTTCTAGTCTGATTTTACCCTCGAGCGATTTTGACTCTGTATTTGATAATGTTGGAATGTTTATATCTTTAACAAAGTTTAATAACATATTATCCTCTAAGCCATGTGAGGTACACGTATATAATGTTTCATAAACAAATGCGGTTTTGTTTAAGATTTCTTCTTGTTTTGTTATTAAAGTACCATCGTTTTTCATGATTTTTGTGATAGATTTATTAACATAATTGCTTTTTTCAAGATTACTTAACAATTTACTTGGTTTCTTTCCATCAATTACCCAGTCCACTTTTGATCTCAAAATGTAACCTTGAAACTTATTTTCTTGTAATTTCTTGAATTCGTTACGCAGCTGTTCGAGTTTTTCAATATTTTGAATAGTTCATTTCAACAACTTTTTTTATCTGTATTTCCCTTTCATTACTTGCTTTTTTCTTATAAGAACCGTAGGATATAGATTTACCTCTTATTTCCATTAATAAAGTTTCTAAATATAACTGAGCGTTTATTACAAATTGTATATCCTCGTTTGGAACACTTTCAATTGTTTCGAAATTATAAACAGGTATGGCATATTGTTTTTTAACGTCTGCATTTTTTTTTATTCATTTCATTAACATATTGAATATCTCTAAGTAGAGAACTGTTGTGTTTCCAGAGCCCTTTACCATGCTTAAAATCATTAAATTTTAATTGCATTATAATAATTGAATGATCAGACTAAAAACTAGGTTTGATAAAAACATTTTCACAGTATGGTTACATAAAAGAAGACAAAAGAAAGAAATCATTTTGAAATGTTGCCTGTTGCAAATATTTTTACTGTTGCTTCATAAATGGCAATGTTGCTTACCGAATACATTTGAAACAATGGAAAATAGAAAATATGTAATATGTTAGTAATTTAAGATAAAACAGGCATTAATACTTTTACTTGAAGTTGAATATTTTCCAAGGATTATTACGTACTTTCTTCTCTTTGTTCAATTAATGCATAAAACAAATATATACTACAAATATTAATTCGAATGACTTTATCTCACGTAAATAAATACTTTTTTTTCAATCATTTAGAATTAAAATAGCGTTTGACTGAATGTATGATTTGACTCATTCATGCATTTAAATAAAGAATGCGCATATTTGTATTGGGACAAAACAGGTTTTGAATTTCATCGATGGCCTGTATTTATCACTAAGGATCTGATTACCCCCTCATTGCGCCAAAGATGATAATAAGACAATTAGCTTGAACTCTTCGGTCTAATGTGTGTACACAAAAACACATAATCGTGAGATAATTGTGCCATAAAGTGCAAATAAAAAGACGTAATCATGAAGCCATTGGGCCTACAATGGAAAACGTATCAGGTTAATTCAACAATTGCTCAAACTGAAAATAGCAGTTTTGCCAAAGCTGGGTCAGATTTAACTTTTCGCCAGCGAATTACCTTGGTCGGCGATGATTTAGATTTAATAATAAAATACTTGTATCAGGATTGGTGTCGGGAAACGCAAGTAAGACATTTAGACCCCTTGACTTCTCGAGCCCTTACGATATTAAGATGACGTCTAGACCCCTAAACACTTAGATCCCTTTTAACATGACTTTTCGACCCCTAGTGGGTAAGACATTTCGACCCTTATCTCAATTTTTGCACTTCAGAATAACAGATAGGCATGATGTATCAAATAAGACCCCCAGACTAAAAGTGAAGGAATTATGATAATGATAATTATGAAAATGCGCGATTTATGTATTGCGTATTAATTCATATCTACAATTGCTACAAGTTTGTAAAGATTTAGTTTATTTTTCGTGCGACAAACACATGCATGTTATATTGGCAATAAATTATTTCACATGTCTACTTAATTTATGTTATATATTGAATTGACTTGACAAAGTAGCGATGA